AGGTGAGGGTCAAGGGCACTGGGTGGGGGCCAGTCCAGACAGAAGACTGAGGTCCACATGTTCTTGACCCTGCTCGGTTCTTTGGCACCTCTGCCTGAGATATAAACTGTCTGACATGGAAGTACAACTCCAGAGAAGGGGGTGGGGAACCTAAGTTAAATAATATTTTGTTTTTGTTTTTTCACTTGGCAGAATGGGGGCTGAAGTTGAAGTTAGGTTTGGTTACTAAACAATAAAGAAAGCAACATTTCTTGCACACCCGACTGTGTGGTCTGAGTTTGCTGCTGCCTATAAACTGAGAAAAAGTTGTAAAATGAAGTACTAATCTCTAGGGTTTAGGTCAGACCAAGGAGTAGTGCCACTGAGCCAGAAGCTGGCTCATGGCTGGCTAGTGCGGAGGGGGTGACAGGAGCCTCTCCCACCTCCATGGCAGCACTAAGAATGTCTAACTAACAGTTTAGGCCCGATCCCTTGGGGGCCTAAGCCTTTAGTCGGACATCCCCCGAGGGCTCCCTGGCTACCAGAAGGATGTCTGACTGCAAGCTTAAGCCGGATCCCCCGGGGAGTGGGCCAAAGTCAACAGGTGGACATCCCCCAAGGGGTCCTGGACTGCAAATGGGCGAAGGCCGGGCTGAGAGACGCACCCCCCCCCCCCCACCGAGTGCACAAATTTTGTGCACCGGGCCTCTAGTATATATATAAAAGACTAAAACGTAATTAGGTAAGCTTTCCAGCAGCTGAGGTAAGGGTGACCATGTGAAATGAATCTCCCAACACATCCTCTAAAAACTATACAGATCAACAAGTAAACCACACAAAACTCTTGTGTCAGCATTACTAGAATACAGAGAACATCATCAGCTTCAAATTACCCATGGTTAAAAAAATCCACCAGTTATCAAAAAAACGGCATAATCTCAATATAATCCTAACTAGTTTCCTCATTTCCATCCTTGCTCTTCAATTTGCAACCTCTGACCTACTCCTTTGCTCAAAATCCTGCAAGGAATATCTATTTTTCTCTTTCAAACTGTCTGGAAAGTGAAAGAAGTGGCGGGAACCATAGCATGTCTATAAGGTGGAAACCATGTATTGAGAATGAGACAGAAGTAGGATCCCTGGATACAACACTGATTCCCATAAGAGCTATAAATTGCTTGTGCTTGAATTTGTCTAATAAACTTTTAAAGTTTAAAGTAACTTCTTTTGGCCATTGTTACTACAGCTCCATTTGTATCCCTAATGATATACAGTCTAACTCCACAGTCCTGGCTCTACTACTTACTTAGCTATACTTCCTTGGGTAAATAACTTAATTTCTTCAAATCTCATTTATTTATTCAAATATATATTAAACACCTACTCTAGGTTGAGTACTGTGCTAGCTGCCATTGCAATGGAAATGACTATAACTCCATCCCTGCCAATCCCAAGAACTTCTAATCTAATGGAACAAGGTCAGTTTTAGTGTCGTCAAATTGAAGGTAACACCATCTCTGTACACCTCACAGGACTATTGTAAAGATCAAAGAAAGTAATATAAACAATGTGAGCACCATTAAAAAAAGTAAGATGGAAATGAACTTTTAGCTCATTCTGATCTGTATATAACCATATTGTAACAATGACGTTTTCTAAAAAAGCCAAGCAATTTCAGGCTACAAGAATGGAACTACAGTTAAAATCAGGAGGGGAAAAACCCAAATTGCTGTGGAATGGCTTTACCCACATTGAACTGGAGGGTAATGATACATATGATTGCATCAGGCAAAGGGCAACTAGGACAATAGATTATTTAATGCAAATGAAAGAAACAGAAAAGAGAAACCCTTGTAAGCAGTGAGAACTGTTTTTCAATTTGTGAAACACTAATATATGAATAAAAGGATAGAATAGTTCCAGATGGTAGTATTACAATGCAATGGTCAACATTTTAAGAAGACAAAATTGAGCCTCATTATAATGGGATGCTTTTTGTTATACTAAGAGTGACCAAAAATAGAACTATGTGAATTTTGAGGTTGTAAGCGCTTGTCAATGAAGGTATTCAAAGGTGGGAAGACCAGATGTTGAGAGTGCTGAGGAAAGGACTTCTGTGAAAAGGTTGTAAGGAGGCCAAATTCAATGAGTTCTAGGCTTCCTTGTACTTCAGTGAACTCTTGAAACTGTTTTTAAAAGGTCATTTTTCTCTTTATAGCAAGTCTTGTATCATAACAAATGCACTATTTTTACCCACATATTATGAATTTATACTTTTGTGTCTATTGTTAAATGTGTTTTTTTTTCATGTCTCAGATATAAGGAGATAACACCACAAAACATTATAAAGGTTAAAAAAATGGTTTGCTTACCTTTGCTGATGAAACAATTTGCTTGGCCTGGCGTCTTGATAAATGATCAATTGTCTTTATTAGCACTTCAGGATTTGCATTAGCTAAGTGTGCTAGACTTTTATAACCTGCATTGTATAACTGTTTTGCCCGACCCTGAAAAATATTACAAAAATCAGTAGGTTCAGAATTTGGGATTTAGAAAAAATAATTAAATGTCTTGTTGAAAGGAAAAATTTCACATGATTATATATATATATCCTATCTAATAAAAGGGTAATACGCAAATTGACCATCACTCCAACACACAAGATGGCCACCCCTATGTGGACACAAGATGGCTGGCAGGGGAGGGCAGTTGTGGGCGATCAGGAAAGCAGGGGAGGGCAGTTGGGAGGGCCCAGGACTGCAGGGGATGGCAGTTGGGGGGGGGACCAGGCTCGCAGGGGAGGGCAGTTTGGAGGGACCCATGCCTGCAGGGGAGGACAGTTAAGGGTGACCAGGCTGGCAGGGGAGGGCAGTTAGGGGCAATCAAGCCGGCAGGGGAGCAGTTAGGCATTGATCAAGCTGGCAGGGGAGTAATTAGGGGGTGATCAGGCTGGCAGGCAGAAGTGGTTAGGGGCAATCAGGCAGGCAGGCAGGCGAGCGGTTGGGAGCCAGCAGACCGGGATTGGGCCTAAACAGGCAGTCGGACATCCCTCGCGGGGTCCCAGATTGGGGAGGGTGCAGGCTGGGCTGAGGGACACACACCCCCCCATGCACAAATTTGGTGCACCAGGCCTCTACTATATATATATATATTTTAAATATACTAAAGTAAATAAAGTAAGAATGAAGAGATAACACATCAGAATCCAGAGGAATTTTATATTAAATTTTGTATTATATTCAAAGATGTATTTGAATGGTTCCAATGTGACTGCAAGATAGCCTTCTGTGCAGTGTAAGTCATCTGATATGTGCTGCAATGAGCAATGAGAAATCCATTATGGCACTTAGGCTAGGGGCATTATTTCAGACACCAATCAAAATATTCTAGTCTAATATACTTAAAATGTTCTTGCCACCTACTCGGGGGACTACAGGGGAGTGGTGTGGAGTGGTGTGGTGTGGTGTGTGTGTGTGTGTGTGTGTGTGTGTGTGTGTGTGTTTGTGTTCCCAAGCAGTAGAGTTCCTCTAATTCGAGAACTGAATAACAGAGAATAAACTTAAATTAAGGGTTGGTCAAAACAGAAAGCTGAAAAACCAGCTGAGAATACTTTCTTCTCACTCTCTTCAAAACCGTGAATAAGCCTTGTTAGCACCGAGTCACCACTACCTTAAATAAGCACGGAGTCTAAATTGACAGAAGGTAATTCTCCACTGGAGTGGAGGAAGGAAGATGCTAAGGATGAGCACACGTATACTTGGAGAGTGTCATCTTATCCCTTCTGTTATTTTTTTTTCCTCACAGTTGTGCTTCTGAATTAATGGGATTTCTAGGAAGCCACAGCAGCAATTTACTTTGAAAAAAGAAAACAGAAAAAAAAAAAAAAGACTGCCATAAGGATGTTGTTGTCACTTACCCTGTGACAAGACTTCACAGTTACTTGAAATCATCTCAACTGGGAAGCTACTAACCTCTAAAACTCCAGTCACTTCCATGAGAGGGATTAGTTCTGCCTTTACACAGTAGGTCAGTTTCTTGGTAAGTTCTACCAAAAGGGCTTTATAAACCCAAAACTCCTCAAGTTCCTGCAGAACACAAAGAAATATACAGAATTTAAATCTAGTCAGTCATTTCAAAGTTTAGTTTGCATGGTAGGGGGCTCAGAGAGGATGTTCCCTTATGTAAGCTCTGGAACTTGGGTTAAGCCAGAAGTGAACAATAATTCTAAGCAAAATTATTATGAGGACGAATGGTAGAGACTGACAAATTTGACGAAGTGGTCTTGGGATGAGGAAACAACTGAAAAATAAGTCAACAAGAAGAATTCTATTCATTTTTATCAAAATACCAGAAAGTGAATGTATAGTTTTTCTTTCCCAGATGACTGAAAACAACTCCTATTTGTGGGAATTTATCCTAAAGACAAAGTATTAACTGTGGAAGGATTCAAATGCAAGACAATGCTCAGTGCAACAATATTTAAAACAATAAAAATATTGGAAACCATAAGTCAATAACTGTTAAAGCTGTATGGGTAAAAGGGTATTCATTATATTATCTTGTCTTCTTATACTAGTATATATGCTTGAGGTGTTCAACAATAGTTTCTTTTTTTAAAGTCTCTAACCTTTTGTGAGAATGTGTGATGCATGGAGCAGCATTAGTTAGCCACTTTGTGACCACTAGGAAAGTAGTTAATGCACTAAAGATGGAAGAGTAAAAAGAAGAGAAGATAACCTTGAATAAAACTACTGAATCAATCACCCTGGAATTGCCTTAGCTCTAGCTTTCCTGTTACTGAAGATAGTCTTTTTCCTATTGTTTAATCTTTTATGGGGTTTTCTGTTACTTGTAATTAAAAGCCATCATGCCCAGCTAGCATGGCTCAGTGGTTGAGCATCGACCTATGAACCAGGAAGACACAGCTCAATTCCCAGTCAGGGCACATGCCCGGGTTGCTGGCTCAAACCCCAGTTTGAGTGTGCAGGAGGCAGCCGATCAATGATTCTCATCATTGATGTTTCTATTTCTCTCTCCCTCCCTTCCTCTCTGAAATCAATAAAAATATTTTTTAAAAAATAATAATAAAAATAAAAGCTATCTTAATTAAAACAATTAGTGTCCTATTTTATATGACTTACATAACTAGTTAAAGAGGAAAAAACATTTTAAAATATTAAAAATACATTCATGAAAGCACAAGTTGTCAGGTAGATTTTTTTTCTAGGCTCAACCATCAAATTATAGTAGCTGTTTTTCAAGTTCAACATATTCTTTTACTTGAACAAATCTACAAGGCTGAAGCCTGTATAGTCCCAATTAAAACAAAGGGATGGAATATTAGGAAAAGCATCTTTAAACACAAAGAACAACAAATACAGAAAACTTAAATAACAACTAGCTTCTTATTACTCATAATTTTTGTCTACTGCTTAGCTAGCCTGTGATTAGGGAATGTAAGCTAGTATTAAAAAGACCAGTATACGAGAAGATATTTAGAAAGATAAATTTACTAAAATAGTTATCATTTAATCCGAAGTCAAGTATTTTAGATTATTTACTCCTTAGTACATATGACAGAATTAATTGCCATACACACATACAGAATATGGAGATTTAAGATAGGGAAAATGAAGTTGATTTTATGTTTAAAAATAGAACTTATGGGGGGAAATTTTTTTAAAAATTGAGTACAGAAACAAATATGAAAAGGCTATTCTGCTATTCAATAATAAAAAATTTAAATGCAGCAAAAATGACATATTATAAATTTGTCAAAAAAATTGTCTGAGTAGAAAAGTCTGGCAAGCTTTGTTGTGTTATTTAAGGAAATTCTGAAAACTTCTTTTAGTAAAATCTTAAACAAATCCATCCTAAATGCACATGGCCAAAATAAAATTTTCTCCTTGAATTACTTTATAAAATGGGCATTTGTTGTAGAAACCTAAAGTAGCCGGCTGACACTGGAAGCGAGAATGGTAGATTACTGAGGCAATCTAAGGAATATGGTGCTAAGTAGTTAAAAGTAGCTGTCAGATATTGACAACATTCTAATCAAACATTTCACATGAGTACCATTCATGAGAAGGACACTCAGACAGAATCAACATGAGTGGAGAGATCCATTTTAAGAGTTGATTCCAAACACTTGAAACTATTAACGCTGGTTCTAAAAGTAAGGATAACTATTCTACTTGTTCATTACATACTTTAGTTGATTTTGTTATTTTTGTATCTTTACCGTAAGTATGTATATAGTATTTCTGTAATAAGCGAATAAAAACAAAAATAAATTTTAAATAAATTCTGACTGCTTTGTAACAGAATAAGTCAATGATAAGAAAATACTAACTGGTTTATGAGTTTGGTAACAGTTAAAATAAGAAGATGCACAACGCATCTATCATCTATTTAATGGAATTACCTCACAGAAATGTAACACACAACATGAGAAGGTGGCAGCTGCAGTGAGAAGACTTTGTATATATCCTCGAGGCATATTGAATTTTTCAGACACACTCCAAATGCTGGTCTCTTTGAGCAAGGCATAAAGAACAAAAGACAGGTATAGTCTATTCACTATGTTCTTGTCCACCGTCTAGAAAGACACAACCAAATAAATTAATATACTGAACCTGCTAAAAATGTACATTATATTCAAACTGGACAAAAGGTAAATTGAATGAAATTGTGCTATGGGAGAGCAAGGGTAAGGATAGAATGATTCATAGAAATAAAACTAAGTTCTAACATATGTAACTTAGATTAATTCAAATTATCATTTTTCCAAGTATAAAAAAATGCCAAATTGTTTCCAATTTAGTTAAACTTCTTTCTATAGGGAGTGTTGAAGGTTGAGTTGTGTCCTACCAAGAAAAGATATGCTCAGATCTTAACCCTCGGACCTGTGAAGGTGACTTTACTTGGGAACAAGATATTTTCAGATGTAATTAGTTAAGGATCTTGAGAGGAAATCATCCTGGATGTACAGTGGGCCCTTTAGTTAAAGCAAATTATAGTAGTTTTTTTTAAGTTCAACATAGTAAACTACTGTCCTTATAGAAGAGAGGACACAGAGTGACACAGACAAGCAGGCCATGTGAAGATGGAGGCAAACATTGGAGGGATGAGTCTACAAGCCAAGGAAAAACCAAGGATTGCCAGCAACCACTGAAAGCTAGGAGACAGGCAAGATGGTTTCTTCCTCAGAGCCTCCAGAAGGAATCAACCCTGCCAGCATCTTAATTACAAACTTATGGTCCCCTGAACTATGAGAGAATAAAATTCTGTTGTTTTAAGACATCCAGTTTGACTTTGGATGGTAAACACACAATACAATATACAGATGATGTATAATAGAATTGTACACCTGAAGCCTACATAATTTTATTAACCAATGTCACCTCAATAAATTCAATTAAAAAAAAAAGACACCTGCTGTGTGCTAATTTGTGGCAGCAGCCCTAGGAAAATATAGACAGAGAAGGAACTGGGGAGACCTTTTCATTTTCTGTGGTATGTATAGGTTGTATATATGTGTGAATGGGATTACAAATTAGATAAATGCATTTATTTAGATAAATGTTAATAAGCTTATCTACATTGTAAACTAAGAGTAAATATTAGTTTCTATGGTTTCCACATGGACATGATAAGTAAGTAATGTTTCCAAAACTAAAACACTGAAAGAGAAAAATGCTCTCTGAGGTTGACAATTTCTATTCGGTGTACCTGCTTTTGCCTGTGGCGTCTAGTGACTATTTTTTGTGAGTAGTAAAATCAGAGGAGAGAAAAAGGTTGTATTTGAAAGAGAAAAAATAGGTATAAAATCTAAAATTATATCCTCTACTATAGTAATAGAATGTTTGAGATTAAAACTTAGACTGACATATTAAAGAATATATGAATTAAGATTCTGCATGTTGATACTGGATCAATCACTTAAAAAGCATTAAGCTAAAAAACATGATAGTTGAATAAAAGTAGGAAAAGATCATTTTTTAATTTTCCAAATTTGGTGCACCTTCATTATTAAAATGGAGTCAATGTAGATTTTGTTCAAAAGGCATTTTTTAAGTCAAGAGAAATTATAAAATTATATTACAAGTCAAGATAAAATGCTTAGCGCCAATTCTAAGCTCTTTTACAAAAAATGTTTAAAGAAAAGGAGAGTGTCTTTTTCAATGTGGAGAAATCAATTTATATTTTAAGTAAAATCATGTTCTCTAGAATTATAAATAGTGATACTTTCAAAACATTAAACTAGTAAATAACCCATTTGTAATTAAAATAAATTCACGTCCATACTAGTTTAAATACGCAATTATCAATTGAATACACTTTAGTGGCTGTATTTCTTTTTTTTTTAATGCATTTTTATTGATTTCAGAGAGGAATGGAGAGGGAGAGAGAGATAGAAACATCAATAATGAGAGAGAATCATTGATCGACTGCCTCCTGCATGCCCCACATTAGAGATCAAGCCCGTAACCCGGGCATGTGCCCTGGCCGGGAATCAAGCCATGACCTCCTGGTTCATAGGTCAACACTCAACCACTGAACCATACCAGCCATGCTATTGACTATATTTCATAAAATGTAACGAAAATAAATTTTGGTGCAAGTTTAAAAAGATGTATTATTCTAATAAGATTTTGTAATTGTTTATTATTTGGTAATATGTTCCAAATTAACATGAGTTTTAAAATATAATTTTGTTTTTATTTTATATTATACAGTTGGTTATAAAAAGTTTGATTTAAAAAATGTTTTTATTCAACATTTTGAAGGTCTAAACACCAGAGCCATTTGTAAGGTAAAAGACTTAATCTAAATGTTGTGACAACATGGATATTGAAGTACTATAATATCTACTTGTAATTTCATGATACAGCAGTACACGGGACAGTTGCACCATTCAATTCAAATGAGAATAAATATCATCTTCTGTTTTTCAAAATGAAATCAGTAATATCCATGTAAATTTAAAAGATATAGGAGGGAATAGTAGTAGATAATTAGGTTTCAATGGAGTTTGGATTATCAAAGAAAATTAAAAACGAATAAAGTGTATATTATGAGGTGGAAAATGATATTAACTTAAAGAATTTTAAAGTATGTTAGCCAAAGAATTATTTCCACTTCTCTTAAAGTTAGTGTATGCATTATACACTTGCTTCATGCTTGTTGACTGAACTTTAAAGCCCCCAAATATAAAATATCAAACAAATAATATTCAACCTTTTAGAATGTTTTATGTATGTCAAATATTAGACTGGAAGTTCTTTGAGGACAACGAACAACACAATCAACAAAAACCCTAAACCTGTCCTATCTCAGAATCTCTGATAGCAAGTAGAATGCCTAATAAAAGTTTATAGAAAATATAACTTTCTCCCTTGAATTGAATTTACTTCAGTATTACATAATATCATGAAAACATTATAAATATTTTATAATGTAAGCAGTAAATAGCCTAGGAAAAAATAAATTAATAAGGTTTACCTTTCCCTATGATAATAGCCTTACATGTATGACAAAATATTTTAGAATACAAAGGTACAAAAATAAGCTATCACATCACCAACAAATAGTTTTTTTAAAAAATGCCTAAGTTTCTGCTCCTCAGATGTTTTAAATAATAAAGTGGGAATTTAATTTAGAGAAAAGAAGCGAAACAAAAAGATCAAGTCAACAAGGGAGATAATACAACAGCATTAATTTTGTTAAATGAACTTAGTTATTTAGGAAGGAAAAAAAAGATTATGGTACCTTCTTGATAGCTTGACCTGATGCCTTCTTCCCAATATAGTTTTCAGAGACTCCGACAAGAGCAACCACATTTTGTTCTGCTGGACTGAGCTGGTTAAACTACATAAATAAAAAAAAAAAAATAGAGTCATTATATAGGAAAATCTAATTGTACCTTTAAAAAATGCCATTTGAACCAAATCCAGTATTTTCTATGATATCACATTTTCTTGTTTTTAAGGATATGAAAAAGCAACACATTTTATGTACAAATACTACAAACTTAAAAATATGAAAATATAGCATATTTTAAATATATTTTTATTGATTTCAGTGAGGAAGGGAGAGAGAGAGAGACAGAAACATCAATGATGAGAAAGAATCACAGATTGGCTGCCTCCTACACACCCCCCACTGGGGATAGAGCCCAGAACCCAGGCATATGTCCTTGACTGGAATTGAACCTGGGACCCTTCAGTCCACAGGCCGACGCTCTATCCACTGAACCAAACTGGCCAGGGCTATAGCATATTTTTGTAGAATTATTTAAAGTCATGGTCACAAGTACTGTGTAATATTGGAAGGGTGGTTAGGAGAAGAGGGAAAGCTTTTGAAAGTAACTGCCTTATATACTACTGGCTAAGAAAACTTACAGGAATAATTTTAAAATATGACATTAAAAAGAAAGTTAATTTCTTGCAATTAAAAGCCACATACCACTTCTGCCTAATATGTGTTTACAATAAAATCATAATAGTTTGTACTCTACCACTTGCTTTTGTAATAAATAGAGCCAGGTCCACCTTTCCATAAAACTGATATTCCTTCTCAGTTATCAATAGTACTGGGTCTGATATATCATGCTTGGCTCTGACAGAGCTTTCAGGTAACTAAACTCTCAATCATCAGAGATGGTCTTCATGGTTTCCTTTAGATTCCAGACATCTATATATATAATCTATATATATAAAAGGTTAATATGCTAAGTGTCCATCTGACAGGTAGCGATGACATGCACTGACCACCAGGAGGCAGTCGCTCAACACAGGAGCTGCTGTGACACACACTGGCCATTTACAGATAAATGGCGCCACAGACCTGGCACCCAGAAAGCAACACTCAGCTTCCCCCAAGTAGACACAGGCCCCACCAGCACCCCAGAACCACAGCCCACCAAATCGCAGCCAATGCTGCCGAGACCCGATGGTGCAAAATGTGGCCCACAGCCCAGGCCAGTCTGGAAATGGTGGCTGTGGGTGCCAGGTAATGACGTCTCATAGCAACGCCCGGCTTGCTCTCCCTAGCAACTAGCCTCCTTGCAGTTTCTTCAGCCACATGACTTGCTTTATAGCCAGGTGCAAACATTTTACACTTTAACCAAATGTCTGTGAAGTGTTTTCCTGTGCCTCATCTCATTTGATCCTCATGGAAGTCCTGGAGTAGGTAGATAGGAGACTCAGTGGAATCCTATTTTCTTTTCATTAGCCGGAAAACGGAGTTGGGGTTTTTTTGTGGTTTTTTTTTTAGATTCTTTCTTTTTTTTTTTTTTTTTTAACATATTTTGATTTCAGAGAGGAAGGAAGAGGGAGAGAGAGATAGAAACATCAATGATGAGAGAGAATCATTGATTGGCTGCCTCCTGCATGCCCCCCACTGGGGATCGAGTCCACAACCCGGGCATGTGCCCTTGACTGGAATCGAACCTGGGACCCTTCAGTCCGCAGGCTGACGCTCCATCCACCGAGCCAAACTGGCTAGGGCGGAAAACGGAGTTTTAGAAAGCTTAAAAACTTGACCCAACTGAAAAGAAGAAATGGTGGACCTTGAAAATGACTTTAGGTTTTCTCACTGCACAGAATATAGTCAAACACTGCTGCAGTTAAATATTTTATCCTTTGTTCTCCCTGTGTAATCTACAATAATAATCTACTGCGTGTTGATATTTACTGCTGTGTTGCTGACAATTACCTGAAAAAGAAGTTGGGGTGCTTCACTGGCCAGGAAAAAGTTTAGCTAAATCAGAAAGCAGGTCTAATTAAGCAAGTTTATTCTATATCTATAAAAGGGTAAGTTAATTTGGGCATGCACGATACATATAAAGCTCTTGCTGACACCAATCGCACGCGTGTGTTTTGATCTGTCATTGTTGATTGTGAATTTGGTTGACACTTCTATTATAAAGGGCGAACAGTGATATTAAAATATTTATTCTAATTAATCTCCTTTCAATGTGCACAAATTCATGCACCGGGCCACTAGTTATAAAATAAAATGGTGTAGTCAATAAGTCAGAACAGTAACTATCTTTGGGGAAATGGAAGCAGGGATGATACTTTTTCTTTTTCCACACCTTTATTTTTTTGATAATGACATGTTTATATTTAACAGAAAAGTAATATTTAAGTTAAACCAAAAATGCTATTGTCATATTACTATTTTAAAAAATGAAAGAACTAAAGGCCCAATTTCAAACATATTTTTAATAGAAAAAGTGAACAACTACTTGATAAAAATCATATCATCATTAATAGACTAAGTAGCCTATACTGAAGAATCTTTTATGCTCACCTGTTTGAAGTATATCATCCAATCAGGGTCACGCTGAGAAGCCATATCGTAGGGAGTGGTTAGGTAAATTAGATGAAGAAGGCTTTCAAGCACAAGGCCTTCAAGACCTTTCTGCAAATCTCTGTAGAGAATGTCACAATAAGCCAAATCTATAGTTCCTAAAAGATACAAGTATTTCATCTTTCTTAATTACCAAAGGGGGAAAGAGGCGATTTTAAAAAAAGTCTTGTTTAGAAGTTACCTAAATATAGCAAACAGTATTCAAAATCTCCTATTATGTACTGTAGCATGGCTATTTTGGAGGTCATTTTGATAGTATCTATCAACATTTAGTAAGTATATACTTTCTGACCCAACTACTCTATTTTTGGGAATCTAACCCAAAACATTTCTACATATACCCCCAAATACATGACTATAGATGTCCATGCAACCTTGTTTATAATTGAAAAAACTCAGAAACTGTGCAAATGTTCATTAATAGGGGAATGGATAAACAAATTAAGGCCTTCATACTATAGATGTCTAAAGTAGTAAAAGAAAAAAGGTAAATTTAAAGGGATTAACTTGTTAAGATGTTCATGATAGCCCTGGCTGGTTGGCTCAACTGGTTGGAACATGGTCCTGCACACCAGAAGGTGGCAGGTTAGATTGCTGGTCAGGGCACACACCTAGGTTGCAGGGTTCGATTCCTGGTCAATTGGGAGGCATATGGGAGGCAACCGATCGATGTTTTTCCCTCTCTCTCCACCCCATTCTTCTCTCTCTACGTGTCCTTGGATGAGAACGTGTCCTTGGGTGAGAACAATGACAAAAAGATGTGCATGATATTTTATAAGAAAAGCAAGCTGCTAAAACATACCCTATGATTCCATTAAAAAAATAAACTATGTGCATATGGATATATGCATGTGTGTATATATAAGTATATACATACAGACATATATAAATGCACATAGATATATGCATAAATATACATAAAAATATTTGCAATTGTTAACTGAGGCAGCCCCTGGGAGAGTGGAAATGGGACAGGAATACGGAATTTTCCTTTACATAATTTCTGATTCCTAAAGATTATTTTTAATAACAGACATGTATTATTTTTCATTAAGTACATTATGAAGTGGATATTAAGAAAGAAACTATCCACTGTCATGCAACAGTCTCTAAGATAATATATATTATTTAAAAACAAAAATTTAAACAAATCTTTAACCTGTATATATCTGTGTATTATGCGTTGAAATGAAATATACAGGAACTGTTTGAAAAGCTATACACCAAATTGTTATTCTTGGTAGGATATTAATATTTGTGTGATTGCCGGGGGAGGGAAGTATGAAGAAGTGATGAACACCTTTTTCTCTATATACTTCTGCAGTATTCTAAGTTACTTGTAATTTAAAATTTTTTTCAACTTTTTAAAGTTTATAAGATTAATGTTATTAATATGAAATTACAAATCTAATTTAAAGTAACAGAATGTCTACTTTTTCCAATGCATTTCCTCAGATTTTGGTAAAGTAAGATTTAAAAAAAAAAATTTATTTTAGGTAAAATAAAATTTAGGTAAACTATTACCTTTAAAAGAAGCTCGTCCCAACTTTGTGATATGAAAACTATACTGGAACCATTCTTCGGACTTATAACAAGCATCTTTTTGTGTAAGTACGTTTTCTGTCAAAATGGTATCTTTTTGTAGGAGTCCTTTTTCTGTCAGGTATCTAAGTGATTCAACAGTTATTTCCAAGAGACTTTTTTCTTTCAACAAAATCTTTTGCTGAACACCAAAAAGGGTACCACTCATAAAGTGATATATGTCACCAAGATGTGTTGCAATCTGAAACAATTCAAGACATCATTGGAGCATTTTCCTTAATTCAAGACATCATTTTGAATATACTCTAATTAAGATGATAATTCATTTCTATACCTCAAAGATATTTAAATAAAAAATTAGTATAATATCTACATAGTTGCATATATAAAGGTAATTTTATAATGGCATTTTAAAATTAACAAGAGAAAACATTTTAAGGAAGAAGACAGTTATCATATTCAAACTTGTTATGAAAACATCTACACACACACACACACACACACACACACACACACCCCTCTTAGGTCTTTTTGAATAATTTTTCACAGTATCTCCAAAGCTGTGATCTGTTTATTCCTCAACCAATAATCACTAATTCCCACTCTGCCTTCTTCAGAAATCCTCCCATTACTCCTTTTCAGCCACCTGTGAAAACAATCTAAAAATTGTATTTAAAAAGAAATAAAAAAACACATGGAAAATACAACTGAAAGTCTCTACTGAAACAAGATCAGGCAATATTTTCCCTGTATATTACCTAAAAATAAATACAGTTTCCCACCTCTTTTTGTCTCATTTCTATCTTCTTTTCCTGCCTTTTTCTCTCTCCTCCTGTTATTCACTATTTAAAACTTTTAATGGCAATCATTAGTAATACTTAACCCTTCATTTGTTAATTAGTTGTAGAGTTGACTCTGAATTAGAATAATTTTATATTAGGCAATTTCAATGATATCAGTATGTTATACTAAAATATAGCAGTCAATAAGCATATTTCTCTCTCACAATTCTGATAATATTTCAAATGGAAAACTTTAGTTATTTCATATTAAACCAATATAAGGAATAACAAAACATATTATAGAGCACTGACATTTTTTATCCCTTCTTCTCTTAATATAGTCTTCAATTAGGCTAAAATTACACTTTTAAGATATTCTATTCTAGAACTGATACTCAGTTTGTAGATTATCACGGACTTAGTTTCTATATTGTTTTCTACTTGGTTAATTACAGTTAACACTGGGGGTTAAAAAAAATAACATTTACTTGATCCTTCTCGCTACCACCATGTTCACTTTCTACCCCTCTGTGAAAAACTTTTAGACACAGTGATTTAAACCCACTGGGATAGCCTCTGCCTCTGGCCTCCACAGCCTCTCAAAGCTGGATTCTCCACTGTTGCTGCAACCTGGAAGTTCAACCATACCCAATTCCAAAGTCAATCCATTAATGAATTCAAGCATTTACTGACACACAACCACATGCCAGGCACTGTGTTAGGCACTGAGACTCAGTGACATGAAAATAAATGTGGACCCTGCTTTCACAGGGCTTACATTCCAGTGGGGTACAGTGTGTGGCTCCATGAAGTATACAGCAGACTGACTGGATTCAGTGGCACAGGGAGGCTTTCCTGAGGAAGCGATCGGTTAAGTGAAAATCTGAAGGCTGGGTGGGAGTTAACTAGACAAAGCTGTGGGTGACTACAGACTGCATGAAAGGTTAAGAGCACTGGTTTTGTATTTAGATAAAGCTGAATTCAAAACTTGACTTTGCCACTTTGTGGCAGAGTAACATTGGGCACAAAGTTAACATTTCCTTAAGAATAATTCTAAAAAGGAAGTTTAACTCAGAAGTAAACTTAAAAAAGAGAGAGCTAATTTCTATTCTTAGTAAAAGAGTATTTTCCTGTCATGCCTTTTTTTTTTTAAATGTTTTTTTAATTTTCTACCTAATAAAGGCTATAGTTATCTCATAAATGTTTAAAATACCTAGAATGGTCACAGGACTATAGGTGAACCTTACTCTTAAAAAGGGCAGAAATGCTGGATTATCCCATATCAGGACCCGTTTCTTCACAGCAATTTGTGTATCCATAGTATCCACAAAACTCTAACATTTGTAACTGATGCCCAGTTATGATGTTGATTTCTCATATTTCTTATAACTCAAAGATTAAAAATGCACATATAAATCCAGATTCAGATCTATCAGGTCACAGACTGTTCTTTTCCACATCAAATTAAAGTTAACATTTTTTCCATACTTTACAATTCTCATAACTATTTAACCTCTATTATCTTAGGTAACAGTAAAAAGATTTTAAAATATTAAAATATACCTTCAAACCAATCAATGAGAGAAACAACGTTTGGATTCCCTTGGTGAATTCTTGAACAAGATGGCTGTAACAGTTTTCCAATGGTCTGCTTATTAACTCCAATGCCTATAAAAGTTAAAGCAGTATTAAGTTTTGTGTTATTATAAAGAATAAATGGTGTTCTATATAAAATTTTAAATTTTTTGCATATCTTGTGGAGGCAGGGGAAGATAAAAAAAAAACAAAGACAAAAAAAGAACGTACAGTTGTGCTCATGAATATAGAAGATAATTAGGAAAAATGCTTTTTATTGTTTGCCTAAAATACAAAAGTATTCAAACTACTCTTTCTAATTTTTAATCACAGAGAAGGAAACATTATTTAGAGAAATATTAATAATTAATTTTTAAAAGATGATCTCATAAAAGTGGTAGGCCAAAGTCCAAAAAAAGACAAAACAACCAACTAACAACTAGAGTGAGTGTTACCTGTTGCTTGTCTTTTTCTTGCAATATAAGGATACTCTCCCCAACAGAATCTATTCCAGCACGGCCAGCTCTGCCAATCATCTGTTTATATTGACTTCTCTTTAAAAATTCCTTAGCAACATAGGGGGCTCTCAAAATAACTCTATGAAATTGATAAAATTAATTAAAAGTTATATTCCACCTATAGCGATAGCACTTATTTTTTAAATTCTTAATTTCATTATATCTATGTAATATTAAATTTAATAACATATTAACTTAAAATAATAGAAAACTAGTATTTACCAAAAATCTATGATGTCCTAGGTTCTTTATGTACATTATCTGTAATTCTTACAAAACTCCTTGTAATAATATATATATATATTGACAAGGGGCTAATTGGTTTATCTCAACCCACAAAATTAGTAATTACCAGAAACATAATTTGAACTTAAGTCCGCCTAGCTGCAAAGCTTATGACCAATCCACTTCAGCAACAGTTTTTTTTTATTTTATACTCCATAAATAAAAACTCTCACCATGTACCACCAACATATGCAAATTTATTGATGAATTTATATTGTTGTCAACTATATACAATTGCAGATTTCAACTATTTTTGACCTATAAACAAGCTGATTTCATCCTGCTCACATATATAACAGTCTGTAGCCAGCTTTTCTGTTAAAAGATGAGAGAAAAATCTATGGTATTTGCCTATACTGATTAACCACCTCCTTTATTTATAAATCTCAATGAACAGCCCAGATTAACATTTGAAAAAAAAAAAAAACTAATGACATAACAGAAAAACAACAAGAACATAAAGAAAAAAAGTCTGATAGAAGCAGATAATACAAAACTTAAAGAACTTAAATTCTAATAAGTATCTATAGAAAATCCTTGAGGGTATTGCATTCAAAATCGACAGCAGACCTTATTTAAAAAAAGAGCAATAAAAGAAGAAAGTTCTTGGAAATTAAGAAAAAAATTTAAGTTCATTTAAAAAAATCAATAAAAGAACTGAATAATTAATAAACATAGTTAATGGGATATAGTTATATAGAAGGTAAAGATTGCAAAAATGTATGAGAAAAGAGATAAGAAAACTCAATCTAGAAAGTTCCAACTCTGAAATTACAAAAGCCGAGAGTGAGATAATGAAACGAAAAAATAATACAATAACCAAAAAAATTACTCTAAGATTATGAAAGGCATAAAACTTTAAATTGAAAACATATATCCAAGTGCTAAGCCCTAAGAATGAAAAGTAGCTAAACTGGAATGGTTGGGATTGTAGAATTAGTTTCCAGGGTTCAAACTTTGGCTGTGAAACTCATTTGTTGGGCCTGAAGTTGGGCAAATTATTTCATTGTTCAGCACCTAAGTTTTCCCTTCTATAAAATGTGGATAATGAAATATAACCTTCCTCAAAGAGTTGGCGTGGAGATCTATTAAGTCAATGCATGTAAAGGTACTATGGTATAAAGGAGGGAGTGCAATAGCTTGCAATTATTATTATACACTATGACAGAATTTTACAGTTAAAGAGATAAGTTTAACGGATCTGAAAAGAGAAAAACAGTGAACCTACACAAAAACAAAAATGAGCAACACTGGCTCCTAAAAAACAAGAAACAATACTGAAGTCGCCAAGGAAAAAAATTGAACCTAAAATTCTAGTAAGGTGTTAAAGTGTGAGGCTAAAATAAAGACATCTTCAGTTATGGAAAGACAAACTTTTTTACCCCAATATACTAGTAGTACTTAATAATTACTCAAGGGTGGCAAGAAAAAAAACAAAAGAATCACAAAAGGAAGATGTGGGATACCAGAGGCAATGGTAATCAAAACAAAAACCAAGGATAATATACAAGTAAGTTTAAATAGTTACTGATTATAAAATAAAAAAATGTAAAAATCTGGAACTACAATTTTAGTTAATTGCAACATACATACATAAGGCAGTATAAGAGGATATATAAATGGCAAAACTCATGTACAAGAGAATATAATTATTGATTAATTCTACAATGACAAAAAAATATTTTCATTACAACTGCTAAAATTTTAACAGTTGGAATAAGAAAAATAGAATAGCCCTGACCGGTTTGGCTCAGTGGATAGAGCGTTGGCCTGCGGACTCAAGGGTCCCAGGTTCAATTCCGGCCAAGGGCATGTACCTTGGTTGTGGGCACATCCCCAATAGGGGCTGTGCAGGAGGCAGCTGAT